GTTAATCAAAGGATTTGACATGTTGCTGGAGGTTTGGCCCTCAGCCTCTCAGCGGGCCTCTCAGGCAGGTGGCTTTGTCTCCGTGGAGCAGATCTAATGTCAGCACTGTGGCAGATTTCAGTTTTCAGGATTTCTACAAAGAAGCTGAGCTTAGGTTGTGTTATTCTTTTATTGCTTTTTAATAGCTCTATAAAAACACAATGGAGGACGATTGAGAGAGGAAGATTTGTCTACACCTTTGCCATCATCTACACTGCAATTTTGGACTTCACCTCTGTTTTATATTTGGCTTTAACACTTGTCTGAGATCTTTTGTTTTCTATATATGTATCTTGCTTCCAAGCAGCAGGCAAGCTGGCGCCATTAACCTGTCATGTTTTTCATCTCTATAAATCAGCAGAATCCTTCAGACAAAATAAAAGATGCATCCCAATGTCATTAAAAGCTGTTGTATGTAATTGAAGATGATAGATTCTGCTTTGCTAAACCTCATCCAGGAAATATGATGCTCTGAGCTCTTAATTTATGGCACAGTAGATTTTTATATTGTATCTAAGAAACAGAATAACTTTTTTTTTCTGTACCAGATAATCAGACATTGTGGCATGAGGCGGTACGAGCTGCAGCTGGAGGACGGGGTTGTTTGATGAGGTTAGTGGGACAAATTTATCATGTAGCTGAAAGAGCCTCAGGGCAAAAGAGATCATCATCGAACAAAACAGACTAATTGTAGTGCAAGTTCGGCAGCTGTGTGTGTGTTGCTGTAGCCTCATTTTGGGGGGGAAACCACAATGTTTAATCTTGACTTTAACACTTCTTTAGCAGGCGTGAAGCCAAGTTGTGTATGTTTGGTGGTGGTTAACCAGCCAATGAAATACCTGTGCACACTCACTGGCTGGGCTTAGCTATTGAATAAACTATTTTTTTTTGGTTATTCTGATTATTGCATAATTGTTTTTGCTCATCTTATAAGCAACAATGTCAAATATTTTCTGGCTCCAGCTTCTCTGATGTGAGGATTCACTGCTTTTCTTTTTCTCCTTTACTAATGACTATGAGGATGTTGCTTTGGGATCTGGAAAATCATCATTTACACTTGTCACTGTTTTCTGACTTTTTTGAGACCCAGGGGCTAGACAGTTAATTGAGGAGATAATTGGAGGATAAATCAATGATTAACAAACGCAGCCCTAGTTAACATGTATGGTTCCTTTAGTTGCCTGGTGGAATAAAGGAGGTGCTAGTACATTTTGGAAAGCCCCATAGTGACTGGATCCAGACTATTTAGCACTAGATTATGCTGAACCTGAGTTAATGAGGACAATATTTCTCTTTAATCTAGCGTGTCTTCACTTTAATGGATCTGAGACATTCCTAGTAGAGCATTTGAAAATTCTCACTTGCTCTGTGTGCAAGTGGGCCAGCTGGCTGCTTTCAGCTGTTCTGCTTGGTTCCTCTCTCTGTTATTTGTTGTAAGGCAGAGACATGCTGCGTTTGCTGAGAGATGAGGTGTGCAGCCACCATTTGGCCACAGCAAAACTCTCTGTGTTGATCTTTGTCTGTCAGGGCACAGTTTGTGTTATGAGATGGAGAAGACGTAGAACAGAGTTTGACAGAGCTGCCCTCAGCAGTCATTGTAGGCCTCCTCCTTTGTAAACCCCATTTTATTTACAACTGCTGTTGTCCAACCTCAGCGTTTACTAAAAGTGAAATTACAAAACTCATTTGCAGAGTTTGTCATGTTGTCATTGCAGCATTCCTCAGACGACTGCAAAAGCAATCTCTGCATAAAGACATTTGTATTATGATGAGCTTCGTCCCTCGCATTTGGAAAATAATTTTTTTTTCTGCATGCTGTGATTGTGATGAAATTGGTAATTACAATACACACAGTGTTTCTAACCATCTAGAATGTGTTGCCTAAGTTGAGCTGATTAGAACATGAATTTTTTTATTTATTGTGGAGCTGCAACACTTAGTCATGTTGGATGGTTCCAGATTCTCAAATGTGAGACTTTGCAGTTATTTCCTTGTTGAGTATCTTCAGTTTTTGAATTCTTGTTTGAGACATTTGGTGATTATTGCTCAGGCTCTCAGAAACCAAAATATTGATGAATTACTGGAGAACATAATAATGAGATTATCAATATTGGAAAGAATTCTTTGCAGTTCTAATTTAATGTAAATACATATCTTACAAGTACATTTTACATGTAAAATTGATGCACACCTTGCTTGTTAACATGGACACTGTGAACACATTAGCATGCTGTTGCTGTCATTTAGTCACAGCGCTGTTAAGTAAGAAGGAAGTAAACCCTGCACAGAGCTGCCAGCACGGTATATTATTGAAGGTAGAAGCAGAGAATGTTTGACATTTTTGCCTGACTGACTTAAATGACTGTGTCAGCACTAAATGACAGTTTATCTTTAACTTCCTTCTTGTGTTAGGAACAAAAACCCACACAACAAATTCCACGGTTTGGTTTTAGGACCCTGAAATGCTTCCAGGGTCTAACGCTGTTAAACAAACAAAAACTCAAGGAGAAGAGCAAAGGGCACAGAAGCACACTGAACTTTCTCACCCTTTGCTTATGTAATTTAGCCCCTGTTAGGTAACACCTTTGTTGCTCTATTTATCTTTTCATTCATGCAGTAATTGTTTTGTATGTCGGTTTTGCACCCATTCAGAAACTGGTGATAATTTGGAACACGTCTAATGTTTCAGCCAGGACATGTGATGTAATGTGGGTTAAAATCATACAAGTGCCTTCACTCAACAGTCACTAATATTTAATGAGCAGCTTTTGTGCACTTTTTACCACTCACAGTTAATCAACAAAGGAAGGGGTGTTAGTGGCATTAAGTCATATCAAACAAAGTGACCACAATGTGAAACCTTCTGATCTTCTTTCAAATCCCTGCTTGACTTGGCTCTGCTCAGCACAGCTAAAGTAAACTTCCTCCCTTCATGCACCTTGAATGTGAGCAGCACTGAAGAGATGTAGCAGTCCTCCAGATCCCTGTAAAGCTCTTTGTCTGGGAAGCACTTTTAAGTGGAGACATTTCTGTAAAAAATATGCAAAGAACAGCCTTTGCTGGATATCACCCTGGACGTTTCTTAGTAAAAGAATGGCTCCAGACATTTTGCAAGCAGGTGCACCTCATTTTGTTCCTATAGGGTGTGTGCGCATGGGTGCTCTGTCTTTTTCTATCAAAATCCACAATTGTGTTGCACACGGGTAGTAATAAATAGGAAGTGAGGGCAAACACCAAATTATGATAGCAGTTTTCGTCAGACAGCAGATTAAATGAAATCAGAAAGAAATAATGTAAAAGAGATTGTTGCACTGTTTTTCATCCTGCCCTGGTTTGTCATGTTGGTTGGAAACTGCTCAACTGTGGTGAAGCTGCTGCTGGTGGCTAGAAACCCATTTGGGTCACAATCTTTCTTCTGGTGGTGTCCTCACAAAACCACAGCAGACAAATGTTAGAAATATGAATTTTTGCTTTAAAAAAGTCTCAGATCAGATCCAGATCCAGATCTTTCTACAAAATTAGCACTGATCATAGAAAAGATAAACTGCTGATTAACTGCAGCTTCAGATCTACTTTGAAATCTTATTATCTCAGACAGGAAGAGAAACACAAGATAGGAGGTAAAAGTGCACAGAGAAAAGAGCAGATTTAAGTGAAAGCAGAGGGCAAGTTTGCACCAGTCTGCTCATATGAAGCCTGATACATCTCAGAGAGATCCTCTCAGTGAAGACACCCTTGATGACTTATCCCATCCCGCAGTGGTGCACCACAGGAAATAGCCAAGGCCCTTATTCTGGCTGGTGTATGACTCTATTATATTCCATCTCTGTGTTGGCCAGAGATGACATAGATGGGAAACATTGCTCTACACAGATTCACAGCACACCAGGCAGAAAGGATTTACACACCCACTGAAGAGACGGTAACATGTTGTAACCAAGGCAAACCCACACTTGTGTTTATAGGCGTTTATTTTTCTCCCGTAAACCACTGAATTTCCAGGACTGGCTTTGGTTGTGTCCATAAGAGAGAGAGAGAGAGAGCGCGAGTCTGTGTAATAAGGTTTTCTTCCATGCAAAACCTCATTCTAATCAGTGTTTTAATTATAATTGGATGTTTAGATTTTTTGGATGTTTAACTACAGCACGCTTTGGGGAGAACAAGCTAATTATAAATTTCCGATTAGCAAGTAATCAGGGCAGATTTTTCTTGTGGTGCGCTCGTGAATTAAAAAGTCACCTGCAGTGATTTAACATGGTGCACAGATCAAATCAAGTCTTTTTCCTTTCTCATTAGCATTTTACTTTCAGCGTAATCACATTAATTGCTTCATTAACTACAGTGGTTATTCAAAAAGCAAACAGGCAGCACAACATGCCAGTGTACAATGTTGTATATAGAAAAGTTGTGTGCCATAGTGCTATGTTTTTAATTAATATGATGAAATTCAGCCTGGTGTGTTTGTTTAGATTTTGGCAAATCACATTATAAAATACCTTTTGTGGCACGTTTTTTCCCTGAGGCAAAAATGGTTAAATTGGTGACCCCCCCCCCCAAAAAATTATTTAATTCCACTTCTTCCAAATATGTCAACTGTTTTGGCTGTATAGTACCTGCAATTTCAACTCAAACCACAACAGAAATTGTGTGAAAAATAGTGCTGCAAGCTAATTTTAAAACAGGGAAAAAGCTCAGATTGTGGATCTGACCCTGATAATGGCCTAAGCTTTTTTGGGAATATGTTTTAATGCTTTGTAGTGTTTTTGCAGATGGCCAGCTGCTAGTAGTTTGGTCAGCCATGGGAAATCTCCCTCCCATTAGCTTGTCTCCTGCCCTTAGTCATCTCTCTTATCTTCTGGCTTAGCCCACGGAGGGACCAGTCCTTCGCCAAATGGAAAGAAATATTTCTCTATGAATGGACCTATAGATAAAATCTTCTCCCATGATACCCTAGAGCATAGTGCTTCTCTCTTGGTGCTACCCTGATCTATTAGGGCTACATTCAGGCTTTCCAGCCACTCAGCTATTTTAATGAATACACAATTAGAGCAGCCTGGGTCAACCAAGGCCTAAGGGTCCAGATGCCATCCATGTAAGATGCACTTGTTTAGATGTTTGACATCAGTTCAGTCTTTGCACTTTCAGTGCAATTAGCTCTGTCTGAATGCATAACTAGTGGAGCTAAACAGCGTGAATCAGTTAATAACTTTCACTACAAAAAGTGAAAGACTCCAAAAGGCTGGTGTTGCATTAGGCCTGACTGCATGCTACACATTATCCAGTTTCCTAAATGCTGATGCTGACCACCCCACCTTAAAGCCAATGAGATATTTTAAAAAGGACTTTATTGGGCACCTCTTAAAAACGATAGTCATGTAATTTTCTGATTTATAATATATAAACTGTGTTTTGATAAAGAATTTATAGATTTAAGTCCTCCGTTTTACGTCACCTATTTTTTCTGCTTGTCAGCTCACACCCTCATCCTGCACACCATGACAGAGCAGCAGACATTCTTTGCAAGAAGTGAAAGATAGCACCAGCAAGAGATGGAAGGATAAAGACTGTCATGACTTTATTATTTATTAGTGGTACAAAAGCACTGGAGGAAT